GTGGGTTTCAATGATATTAGCATGACCAATTATGCAAATTAGGCGATGACGTTGTTTAGCGACTTCTAGAGACTTTTAGCATAGCCAATAGCGATTTTCCTTACTGAGGAGTTGGCAACACTGGCTGTGACAGCCGTATTTCGCGTATGACTATGAAAGGCGTAAGAGGAAGTAGTTTCTTCCAATTTAGACGATCCGAATGATATAGTTTCTTTCCACTGCGTTCCTGTTAATGAAAAACTACAAATTTACCCCAAAGTACTAAAATATTGATATCTTAATATGAGAATCGATTCTAGAACATAAATTACTGGGATCGGAAGAATCGATATTTCAATATCGATCCGCACACCACTAGATTTCAGTGATGAATAATGCTTAATGGCGCAAACACCTTCATACAATACTGTACTTCATACGCTTTTCAAGGTGCAAGGCTGTTGCAAATAGTTAGTTTTAACACCAATTGTCCACCATAGATTTATTTAGAAATCGCCACACTAACAGAAACTATAGGCGCGATATTTGTGTACTTGTTCTGCCCGTGAACATCGTCTTTACTGACCATGTTCGACTGACAACTTGTAACAACACTTTAATATCATTTATTTTGGGTGTGTGCTACTTTTATCGAGCCAAAAATAATGGCGCCTCATTTCACTCGCTAGGTTTTTTAAGCAGCACAGGTGCATATGTTATATCATCTGCCTACTCATTTGCTACCGAATTTAGCTGCCAGTGGCTTGAACCGTATAATTTTTTTTAAAGAGTCATAATATAAACATTTTCCTACGCGCTCCAACAATATTATTGTAATAAAAAAAATAAGCTAACAGCTGCTAGCTAGCAAAATCAAAAACTGCTAGCTAGCTTAAACACGTGTTTAAAACAAGTGCACAGCTGTCAACCACTACAAACTAAATAAGATTTAAAAAATTATCCCAGAAACCCCCCGCTGTATTTCAGTTTCGTAATAAACGCAAATATGGTGTTAGCTCTTAAATTTACAGCAGGAAAACTTACATTTAATTGACGAAAATACTCCTGTCCTCCCTCAGGTATCAGTCCAATTACCCGTCAGACGGAATCCAACAAGTGACAAATGGTGTCCGCCCTGCAGCATCCTGATTGGATAGTCAGTGCTGTCCGGGGCAGGGTATTGGTTTATTGATCCTGTCGATCAAAGCTTGTAAAGAAAAGCGTCTGGACTTCTTTAAGTTACTCGAAGACGTTTCACCTCTCATCCGAGAAGCTTCTTCAGTTCTAAGGTCAAATGGCAGAGAGTCCCAGATTTAAACCCAGTGGGGGTATCCCCCCCAAAGAGGGGACAAAAGGATCCCCTTTGGGGATTTAAACCCCACTGGGTTTAAATCTTTTCTTTACAAGCTCCTTTGACTAGGATGACCTGGATGACTGAGAACCTTCACAGACAGATCCTGTCGATCTTTTATTGAAAGGCGACATCATGCCGACAATTAGTCTTCACCCCCCTAGTGGTTACTATCTGCATACCTCACCTAAGTTGAATTAGAGAAACAATGCCGTTAATGTGATGTAATGAGCAAGTTAAGCTTTCATCTCATTTCGTTTCATCTCATCTCATCTAATCTCTAGTATCCAGAAGTGGACACTGAGAGGCAGACATCTTTCAAAGGCAGACTTATACTCATTGGCTGTGAAAGCAGGAGCTGTCATCAAGGGTCGAAAAACCACCTTCTACTGCAACTACACTATGTTCAACAGGCAAAAATATCAGTAACCACACACAACACACACTAACAACAACAACAACAACAACAACAAAAAGCCTATTTCAGCACATATGATGTAACCTACACCAAAGAAAAGGAAATACAGCTCAATAAATTTCTCACAACCTTACAACAGTGTGTGAGACCAATAAAAGGAAATCCTCTGAGTTTTTCTCAGCTGTTTTTCAGGCTTGTTGTATTCTCTTAGAGAGGGAGCTGGGGAAATTCTATGGAAATAATTCTGCATTACTTTTGCAGTATTTGTGCCAAGTTTGAGACATGCATAATTCATGTCTTTTTAATTTTTTTAAATTCTTTTTATCCGACATCAAAATGTTTTTATGTTCTTCTTATTATTATTATTTTATTTTATTTTATAAAATAACGTTTATTTATTTATTTATTATTATTATTATTATTATTATTATTATTATTATTATTATTGTGTTTTTTGTTTTGTTTTTACAAAAGTCTAGCTTGTAATTGCATTAACTAAAATATTGTTGTTTCCATCTAGTTTTAGCTCTGAGTTTAGTTTTAGTCAACTTTTTTCAGATGGTAACACAATTTAATCTCTAAGTTAGAGAATGTGGGATCAAATTCGCACACTTCTACTGTTACCACAAACACCAGGATATTTGCATGCATTCCCATTCCTCTTTTCTTATTTGAAAATACTTGTTTTTCAATGTCACTTCTTATTTGAGGAAGGTTAACACTTTGTTGTAAACATCAAGAACCAGGAAATAAATAAATAAATAAATAATAATAATAAACCAAAAATACCTGAGACAAAAATACTTTTTTGCGGCTAAACAGAACTGTCTTTTACAAACTAGACATTTAATTTTAGATTTAAAATGCACATTAAAAGAAGGCAGCTAAGCAGTCTTAAATATATAAAAGCCCACAGAGGTTTAGGTTTTCAGGTCACTGGTCAGACATATTAGCAATTAGTCTTAAACTAAATTGAAATAATCCCAAAAATGCTCCCAGAGCGTGTGAGGTGATGACTTTGTGCTCACACAAATTATTCAGTATATAGAAAGCAGCAAGTTTGTCTGCTCCTTATATTTGCTGCTATAATCTTAAAGTAGATAATCACAGACAGAAAAAAAACAGACACACATCTTTACGTTTTAAAGGATGTGATGCCATCTATCGACGAATGTAGGAAACTGCAACATAGAAGAAAAGAAGTGACCTTCCCTCATGAATGTAAAAAAGCAGCTCCCAGCATTTCCTCCTGTAGGCCAAACTGACAGCTGAATGAAGCAAATCTGACAGCAGGAATTCTCATACTGTCTGTAATGTTGCAAACATTGCAAAGTAAATGAATGAATGAATAAATAAATGCAACATTCACAGTGCGTGCTGCATATTTACTCGCCTTTTCACTGTTCACAGCAAAATGTCAGCGTGAAAGAAGTGGTGCTTATAGCAGTAAGAGGGCTTTGTTATGTTTGCTTGTTATGTTCTAATTAGAGCAATTCGACCTCTGATGGGGGCTAATCCGTAATTGCTGGACTTTTGAGAGGAAACTCTCCAACCCAGAGGAGTTTGAGGTACTTTTGGGTTTGTATTCACACTCAGGAGTTATTATTACTTGATCTACTTTAATTAGATGCACTAAGCAAGCCACCTTCCCTTTTAGCTGTTCAAGAAGTCATAAGCAGAAACATGAGGTGGATTGTGGTGTTGCCCAGAAAATAGTACAGATAAAACTTAGGAAAGCTTTCTGCCACGTCCCAGGTGTGGACAAATTGTTGGCATTTTCTCTGTATTGTTGCAAAGCCTTATCTTACAGTATAAAACGCCTCAAGGTGTCCATTGTAGTGATTTGGTGCTAAATACATAAAACTGAACTGAATTAATCTGCTAGACTTTAAATGCTGACACATAAATTGAGCAGAAGTGAATAGCGAGAATGTGTCAGGTGTGTTTTGAGTGTTTCTGTACTAGTGCAGATGCACATTTCTGTCTTTTAAATATGGTCAATATAATTTAATCAGCAGTTAATCCTTTTTTAAAGCCTCACTGGTATTTACCTCAGGTTGATTGCTTTCCTAACTATTACTGTCATTTCATTTCTGCATGTCTTCAAGACAAATTGGGATTTATTGTCAGTGTTTGTACAGTTCAAAAACACTTCATTGTTGATTTGGTGTCTTGCCAGGTTGACTTTCAAGATGCGCCATTTGTACTGGAACTGGCCCGGCACCATTTGTGTTCCAGCACCCTGCAAATATGCCCACAAACTGGCTTTCCTGTCTGGCCAGTACCTCCACTCAGAGCCGCCCATCCAGCTCTCAGACAAGTGAGAAAACATTTGAT